TCATTGTTGATGACATAGATAAATTCTATTATTATTTACATGGTAATCATTTTACTGTACATAATGATCATGATGCCCTAGTTTGGCTTAAGAACAATAACATCCTACAGGTAGATTATTCAGATGATCTCTAAAATTAACCTTGTATGACTTTGAAATAAAATATAGAAGGTTCTACAAATTGAAGCTGATATGCTAACTAGAAATCCTATTTGAACATTTGAATGGCATGTCAATTTATTATCATTAGAAGAATTTAAGTGTGTGTGTGAATTATGGCAAAGCCTCGAGGGCTATCTGCTAAGAGGAGGGGATGCCTTCGTGGAGGACTTTTTCTAAGGGAAACTGGCTCGTATACACGTTACACATGGGGAAAACACGAAAACGCCCATGCAGCCAGCCCGTTCGCGGGATTCGAACCTCGGACCGAACTACCAGTGTTCAGCGACTTTACCGCTCGGCCGCTGGTGGCTAGGATACATAGTAAGAATACGGAAAGGAAGTTAATAGTAAAGACTGAATTCATATTAAACAGCTAATTGAATTATAAACTTACAATTGTAGTAATGAATGTTAAATAATTTCTAATTAAATATACCTATACACTTATCTACGGCTTTATGAAAGTTGATCTTTTTTTCCGTGAGCAAATATATTTGTGACTATAAAATTAACTAGTTGTAAGGAAATGCATTTGAATTAATGCTTATTATAGACTTATATGCAAATTTAACTAAATACAGTTTAAATTTGAACTGTATTTAGTTAAATTTGCATATAAGTCTAATAATAAGTTTTGAGTTAAACTTTGAACAAGTTTTGCGAAAGAAGAACTTATAATTAGTAAGAATGAAATTTAATTAATCAAGATTCGCGAAGTGTAAACATAATGAAAGTCAGTAACTAGTGGGTATAATTCAATTTAATTGAAAATGATTTTACTTATATATTTAAATGTTAATTAGAATTTATTTCAAAAATAAATAAAGTAACATTCCGCCGTTATAAACTTTGTTATGGTATATTCCAAATATTCTTTTAGTCTTACGTGAAATACTTGCAAACTGTGCTACTTTATATTATTTAAAGAATATATGAATGAACGACTAAAAACAACTAGAGAAGCAAATCATTCTGGAATTGTCAACACGTAAAGCGTAGTACCTCGACGGAAATCTCGAGCTCATATCGTAGCTGAATGTCACGCATTCCTTCTGATCCTTTAGGTTAATCAAGGACAGACGAAGGAAATAAAAAAACTGATGAAAATTATACTTTTATCTAGAGATAGTGTATTTGAATCCTCTGCTTTTACGAATCTTAAAATGATGAGATTCGAAAATTCGATGCTTTCGAAAATTTCAAATCCTAATTTAATATGTTTTAACACAAATTTGGAAAGATTAAGTTTACTGACGCCTTGATAGCAGCGGTATTAAAACAAACACATTTTTATATTTAAGTGAACATTGACCATCAATATTACATCCTAGAGAGTGGAAATGCCGCCTATAAATTTTCTGAAGAGAAATAAATAGTATTTACCTTAATGTTTATCTGCCTTAATTCTGGCAATAATTTTCTTTCTTTAGACTTGCTTCGATTTAAAAGGCAGTGATAAAAGTAAAGCATTCGACACAAATGTTTTTGTTAATTGAGAAAATAAGCTCGACAATCAGGAGATCGATTATATGCTTTACTTACTAAATTTCATACTATCTTTGTATAGTCTAGGTTGTCGAAGTAGAAGGCGTGAAAAGCGTGCAGTGCCACCGCCAGGATTCGAACTCCGGACCTTCGATTGCTAGCTGGACGTGCTTTCCAATTACATAACAAAGCATCTAGCAAGAAGGAAGAAAACTTCTTACGGTCTTCCCCACTTAAAAGGCGACAAGGAAGGAAGGGACCTATCGCTAAATAATGGCGGTGACGAATTATCTTCCAACTCTTTTTTAGTTCGGAAGCCACTTGTAGAGTCTATTAAGTGTTTTCTATCTTTTATCTGAAGCAGGAAAGATGAGAAACTGAGCAATGTACTCCCCAGAATTTGAATTCTGAATCTTCAAATTCTAGCCGGACATCCTTTCCGATTATACCGCGAAGGCATGAGATACGGAGGGGGAAAAGAATGTTAAATCTTGTTTATGACGTAGGTATACTTTTAAAAATCATATTCTGAGATTCGTTTTTCATTAAACGCAAAATTTCAAATTTTGTTTTTGTTAAAAGCTTTATTATTAAATAGAATGTTTTTTCTATTTTTCAATTATTATTCTTATATACGAAATATTTGAGATATTCGAGAGCCTCTCAGGATTCGAGAAAATTTAGGATTCGTCCTATCTCTACTTTAATCAATATTATAATAATTTCGACCTTTTTATAGGAGTCTTCTGAGGGAAATTTTCGAAGTGCCGCAATATTAAATGTTAGTATGAAGGGTACGAATTGAGAAAAGTCCTAATACTTTCATATTTGGATAGGGATCTGTACATCCTTTCCGATTACATTATATTCAAGTTATAAACATTATATTCAAGTTATAAACATTTGTAGTTTTATGAAAAGTCTTTAAATTCAAGACTGTTGGCAGATTTGTAGAAACGTAATTGTTTGAAAAAGATTCTTAAATCGAAGGTCTTAAACTATGGGAATGAGAACTCAGTTGAGACTATTATCGTTTATGATGACAGCTCAAAATAGTGAACTCTGTCATACAAATAAATGGACCGACTATTGATATTATTAAAGCAATTTCGTAAACGTTTATTAAGTACCCGGAAGAAAATCGTATTAAATAATACTTTTGTTTATATTTGGTGCCGAATGAATGGCCCTCGGATATTTACTTTAACTTGTTTGGAATTCGAGTATCATATAAACACTTTTTGTTCACCACAGCCCATTTTTCATTTTATCTGATAGATACTAGGATTCAGGGCACTGACTACAGGTCCAGAAACGCTAATATGTAGACGCTTGAACAACGTCCATGATTATAAAAGAAAGTTAAATATCGCACGCATCTGTGTTATCGCAATACCACGCTTACTTTAAAAACCAGTTGCAGGCGAATGAATAGAGGCCACCGCGAACTACAAAATACGCGGTAGATGGTAGCCAGTGGCAGTGGGTCAAATTTTTACTTGTTTAGGGAGATGACTTTAACCTTTTGAAGTTGCAGTTAGAGCAGCTATACTGTTCTACGCGGAAATGAGTGAAAGTTTTGAAAGCGGATTAAAGATGAGATAAGTGAACAATATCAGCTTTTAAATTTTATCCTTTAAGAGGAACTATTTTTGTATTGAATCCTTTTGTGGCTTTCTTAATTTATGGTAAGTAATTTTGTAAACGTATGTTTTTATTTATCATTTTATTTTCAGTTTCTCTTTATTTCAGCAAAATGCCTGCAGGATGGGAATAGGATTGCACTTATGTTAGGCAATAAAGCTTTTATGAAAGGATTTATAATAATCCATTTGTAAGTGATCAACTCATATGTTTGAATGATTTCGGGAGTAATTAAAGAAAAATTGCGGTTGTTGGATAGAAATTTTTACTCGGAAGATAGTGCACAAAACAAAGAATGAGATGTAATTAATGCAAGCAGAAACAAAAAAAAATTAACCCCATAAGCATTTCATATTTTCCATAAAACTATTTAAAAAGTCATAGGATATTTTTAAAATTTATTGTTTTATTATTCTCAAATTCTGAACTGATTGGTACCTATAGCAACATTTTTTTTTACATTTAGTATTTTTAGCCATATTATCTAAAACTGATATAAAACTACAAATTATCTAAAACTGACACTTTTTTTAGTCCAAAGGGGCTTTATCCCTAAAGTACTATTGTTTTCGTTTTTCGATTTTGCGTTGAATCACTATAAAAGTTTGTTTCACTTTTCAAACGGTTACCACCAAATGTTAGAGTCCTGCATTATAGTTGAAGAAATTAAATAATGAAAAATCTGCATAAATGTATGTATATTTTTTCTCGCATTGTGATAAAACAATGGTACCTACAGCCATCAAATTTTGAATAGCGTAATTATCCACCGAATATGGGCATCTGGAAGCCCTAATTTGGAATTTAGGATTTGTTTTATTATCGATTTCATAAACGAATTTTTGATTAACAAACTCAACCATTTCAAAGCGAGCAATGACAAAACCGTACGGGGGAAAAAATAAATAAATAAATCTACAGGGCGCGAGACTGTGTATCGAAAATTCTAAAGATACACTCATTTCAAAATTATTTTACAATATTGCCGTTGAACTGAATTTTATGGTTTAGGTGCAAAGAATATGATATTTAATAAATAAAGGTAACACACAAAACGTTAAAAAAAGCCCCTTTAAAAATGTTTAAAATCTGAAACCTGCAGATATATTTTTCCTTATTTGTTTCTTTCTTCACGTACACAAGCGTGGCAAAAAAGCCTTAGTGCATGCATTTAACTTATAAAACTTCGTGCATGGTGTAAATAATTTATACTGTTGCCTTTTAAGATGATAACTTTAATCACACAAAACTACATACTGGCACGTCAATAATTAAGTTTTCAAAATTTAATAATTTTTCTGTATGTGACGAAAAGGAAGCGAAAAATCGCCTTCACAGTACACGTATTTATTTGCCTTGGATGTAAAGTTCAAGAATAAATAACGCTTCGCATAAAATAAAATTTGTCCGACTGGCAGCTGTCATCTATTGACTATAGCTGCAGTTAAAATATTAACAGGCTGACAAAAATGAACAGCGGAATACTTTTGGCCGATTCATTTTGTGGAGAGTAAAGCTCGGAAAATTAATTAGGAAAGACCTCTCGTTTGTGAGCCGGGCGCAAAGAGAACACATAAATAAATGCGTAGTTAAATTCTGACTTTTAAATGTAATTGTACAGGGTTTTACAGTTTTATAGTTTTAACAAAACTAGAAATTCTTTATTAAGCAGGTGTACCTCTTTAAGCTCAGGTTTGCTGGTCTGAATGTAGCAAGAACAGTTTATGAATGATAACGCCGTCTACAGCGAACTCTGGCCATTCAGCGAGTAAAGCACTACTTTTTGTCCCTAAATCCCATTGCAGTTATAAATTTGAAGATGAGTGTAATCTCAGTTTCATATTCAAGATTTAAATGTACCGCTTTCACTTCTGTTGAGTCTAAAGTGAAAATTATTTGGAATATTTTAACTATAAAAAGAGAAGTGCGCCAATAGAGAATTCAAAAGCAGGTAAAATTGAAACTTAGCCTTGATGTTGATTTCATAGAAAACTTCTTTGCATTTTGAAGAAAGTGTTGCGGGGTATTTTTTTTTTTTTTTTTTTTTTTTTTTTTTGAAGTAGTAAAATATTCTGCATTTTCCAAATTCAAAGCGGCTTTAAGATGTAGTCTTATTGGAAAGTAAAGGATACTTGACTACTCGTTAAAGATGAGGTCTTCATTTAAATGCATGTAGTTTTCACATAAGAATATCTTTAGTCTAAGCTGAATTTTCATAAATTTTAGATGAAAAAAAATTTTTTTATTATGATTATAATTTTAAGTTAAAGAAATTTGCAAAAAGATGTGGAATTAAAAAAACCGTATTTATTTACTGTCTTATCTTAAAAAATATTATTGCAATTTCGGTCTAGGTTGAACCAAATGTTACAGATTATTTTGTTGACATTTATGGGTTATGCTGGTAAAAGCTTTAAAATAAAAATCTTAATGTTTAAAAGTTTAAAAAGTCACGATCTTTCGAATAGTTTGTATAATAGATATTTATTTCAGACATAAAGAAATGTCTGAAATTCTTAACATGAAAAGCAATATTAATCCGGAAAAAATCTATACTTCTTCATAGGAAACAGAAATATATCTACACAAATTTGTGAATGCAGGCTTTGAACAACTGTATGAGTGCAGACGGAATCGTGCTATGGGACTTCGAAGGGAAAATAGGATTAAGAAACATGCTGTAAGACTAAATGTTCTTGTTCCGAAAAAGACATTATGATTGTCCCATTTCTTCTTAAATACGATTGAATTTTTATGTTTATCTTTTTTATTTCTCTCTTCCCAAATTAGTATTCCCCCAAATTAAAAAATTTGATTACGAGCAGCAAGAATCTACGTCTAGAGAGTTATTTTGAAAGACTATAGTTTCGAAAGAAGGCAATGAATGATAAGAAATATATATATATTTCGTTTAACCTTCGTAATTGTAGTCCTGTAAATTTATTTTCCTTACTTTCATGTTGCTCATTATTAATTTGTTTTATATTCGTTCTTCGCTGTATTCTTTTTTCCTTATTATCGTTTCACAATTTTAATAAAGAGTGAATGTTTTGTAGAGTCATTAGGATATTTGGAAAAAGGAGACGTGGAAAATGTGTCATACCCTCTCCGGGACTCGAACCTGGATCCCTGGAATACGCGCCGAGTGTGCTACCGTTACACCACGAAGGCATGCTGGATGGAGGTATAAAATACCTTGTATACTACTCCTTTCAAAGGGCGACTGGGAAATAGGGGACCCAATCGCCAAATTATGGCGCTGACGAATTATTGTTCACCACCTTTTAATTTGGGCACCACTGTAGAGTCATTAGGTTATTTTGGAATCAGGAGACGTGTAAAATGTATCATACCTTCGTCGGGATTCGAACCGGGACCTCTCCAATACATGTTGGGTATGCTACTATTTACACAACGAAGGCATGCTGGAAGGAGAAAGAAAATGCCTTATAGTTTGACTCGAAATTTATTTTGATTACTCAATACTACTTTTATTGTTGCGTTCGTAAAAGTACATTTATAAGAACAAGGGCCAGCAGAAAATTTCAAGTACAGGAGTCTTTTAGCCATAGTTTGCTTTATCAAATCACCTAGACATAAGCATTTTATTTTTATGCAAAATATGTTATGAAACATACGCAAATTTAGCAAGTGTTTTATATTTAAAATTCAGAATGTTTTAGTCTTATTTGATGTAATTGGAAAGTCTCTTTCTATTTTCTGTGAATAGAATTTAGAAAATTTTACTCAAGATTTTAATTTTGTGCTAGTGAAATAAAAAGAATATTTCATCTCTTGTACTTATATTGGTCTACAACAAAATAATGAACAATTAAATAATTGAATAATTCCACTGCAGTAACATCATAACTTTTGCATTAAAGTGATGAGAGCCATAAGTGAATGAAATCGCAAAGCAAGCAACTGCTCAGTTTTGGAAAATATTTCAAGTGAATGAAATGCGGCTATATTTTTTGATGTTATGTGAAACGAAATGTATCACAGAAGGAATATTTTAAAGCTAAATGCGCGCAATTGATTAACGGGAACCGCTAGGTTGCTTTCTTTTTAATAAGCTGGCACCAATGTCAACAAATTATTACCTCTGCTTGTGAAAATTTTCGCATCGCTGAATTTGATTCATGGAACTGCGCTCGGAAAAGAATCACTGTCATTTGTTTCAGAAGCTAATATTACTAATTGCAGTCACAGCAACAAGTGCTGGAACAGTTCTCTGATCTCTGGTCTGCATTTGCCAAGAGCTATTTGCAAGCCAGTCCACTACTCTGGTTTTGGATTTTAAAGGCAGTTACGTATGACAGTAAAGGTAAGATAATTAGCTACAATTAAAACTGAAAAAGTTAACATTAAATAATTTTTAAAATATACTTTAAAATATCACGATGCTCAGAGAATGAAAACAATTTTTCTATTTCTTTAGTTCTTTCGTATTTTTGTATCATAATTTGTGGCTGATAATTGACATTAAGTGAAGTATAACTTCAGATTAGCATTTCAAATACAGTATCACAGAGTTGATAAATTGCTGTATTGTTATAAATTGCGGCTTACACAACATGCATATTATATTACTTGAGCAATTTATGTTTTTTTGTGCGTGATTGTATTATTAAGGGTTAAATGTCCTCCCATTTAATATTCAAATGTAAATATCATATATCAATGAAAAATATATAATAAATTAGCGAATGCTGACAAAATTTGCTTAGTGCTAATAATTATGAATTGAGTGTTTACCATAACGAATGTATTGTATATAAAATGAACGAAAAATTTAGCCGAATGCCATGATCCAGTTGTAGACTTGAATAAAAAAGACTGACATAAAAGACTGACAGACTTGAATTTATGTACCAGTTTGTAAATTGTGGTTTGAAACTCAAAATAGCTTCCAAGTTATTAAAATATTTTCCAATGTAATAACGTTATTGTAAAATGTTATGCGTGATGTAAATTAAAATGTGTCTAAAATTTTAGGAAGGAAAAAACGTTATTAAACTGAAAGACCTATGCCACAGTTTTA